CTGCAGACCAGCGGGGTGGACGTGGACGGACTGCTGAGAACAGCTGTCCTTGGTCTTGATCCTGGTTGTAACTGCACACAATACCCTGATCTCCCCGTGTAGCTCAAACTCAGGGGAAGGGCGCTGACAGGCACTCCCGCGGATCACCCCCAGGCCCAGAGAGTCAGGTGTTCCCGTGAGTGTCCGGAGGGGGAGGGGCCGCTTTTAGAAGAGCAGCAGGTGCTTCCAGAAGAAAAGAAGGTGCTGGGTGAGAACCAGACTCCGAGGACAGAAACTCCAGGGGCTTTGGAGTCGACAGGCCCGGGCCTGTGTCCTGGTGCTGCCCGCATGCCCGCGGCAGCGAGACTCTGGGCCGTTGGCTCACTACGCCAAGCCTCCGTGTGCTCCTGTCACACTGCCCCGCAGGGCTGTTCTTAGTGTTAGTAACAATGTGTCTGCGTGAGGGGGCAGGCGTTAGCGCTGACATTTATCCTTCACTGTTTGGTGCAGGGCCGGCATGAAGGGTATCTACTGCGGCCTTTCTGTGGCATAATCACTTGTGCACCAGCCGGTAGTGCAGTTGGTAGAGCATTGTCATGATATGCCAAGGTTGTGGGTTCAATCCTAGTCCCGGCACTTACACAAATCAACCAATGGATGAATGCATAAATAGAAGAACAAATCAATGCCTCTCTCTCTCTCTCTCTCTCTCTCTCTCTCTCTCTCTCTCTCATCAATAAAAATACATACCTACTTGGGCATAAAGTCTCAGAATATTAGGTTAGAAGATATGGTTTAGCTAACACAAGTGATGACCTACAAACTGGTACCAGGTATATTTTTCTAATGCAAAAATTAGAAAAATAAAGGGAAATGTAGAGTTTTCCATAAAACTAAGACTATTCAATTGAAAAAACATGGCCTGATTTTTTATACTAAAATGTGTTTGTGTATGTGTATGTGTATATATATATATCTATCTCTCTCTATATATATATAATAAAATGGTAACAGAAGATGGTGGAGTCTAAAAAATATGCTTATTTGGCAAAATGACAAGTAGACAACCCCACACTGATTCTCATGTTTAACTTACTTCTTCCTGAAAACTCCACAGCACGAGAACCACTGATCGGACCACCTCTTCATTTTCTCTCAGGAAACAAACCCGGCCTTAGAGCAGTCCCATGACCTGCTCCAAGCCCAAGCTCGCTCCTGGAAAGCAGGAGATACAGATCGGCTATTGTTCTGACTCAGGTGGAGTTACAGCCCACAGAACAGATGGCTTTCCATTTTTAAGGTCTCTTTCATGATTGTTTTATGACACTTTATTCCGGAGAGCAGTTTTAGGTCCACAGCAAAATTGAGCCAAAAGTCACACACACACACCCAACCCGCCCTAACCGGTTTGGCTCAGTGGATAGAACGTCGGCCTACGGACTGAAAGGTCCCAGGTTTGATTCCAGTCGAGGGCATGTACCTGGGTTGTGGGCACATCCCCAGTGGGAGGTGTGCAGGAGGCAGCTGATCGATGTTTCTCACTCATCGATGTTTCTAACTATCTTTCTCTCTTCCTCTCTATAAAAAAATCAATAAAAATATATATATTTTAAAAGTAACCCCCCCCACACACAGACTCCCCCCTATCAGCATCCCCCCACCAGTGGTACATTTATTATTACTGATGAACGTATATATTGACTCATTAATACTACCCATCATTTACATTAGAGTTCACTCCTAGCATTGTACACTCTATGGGTTTCGACACATATGCAATGACATGCATCCACCATCACAGCCTCATACAGAATAGCCTCACTGCCCTAAAAGTGCCCTGTGCTCCACCTATTCACCCATCCCTCTCTAGTAAGCCCTGCAACCACTGATTTTTTACTGTCTCCGTTTTTGTTTTTTCCTTTTCCAGAATGTCACATAATTAGAATCATACAGTATACTATGTTCTGAATATGTGTGTCTCCCCCAAACTTCATGTGTTGAGGCCTTATGGGAACCATGTCAGAGTACACCGGATGCCCAAGGCCACTCTGAGCATGGAAATCTTAATCAGAGTAGCCAAGGACTACACGCAGGTGCTAGGACACAGCGATCTCACGGTACACTGCGCACACATGTCCTTCTGTAACTCGGATGATTGATGTTACTATTTGGTGGAAAGCCTCTTTTGTCTACGTAGCATTAAAGTATGTTGCTGAGGCTGCTGAGGCAAGTGGGCTCTGCTACAGCCACTCTGAGAGGCTGTGGGTCCAGAGGCAGCGGGTTCGTGGCTGTTCAGATAATGGCTGTGGACACAGAGGCTGCTCTACTTTGTGGGAAAGACGTATTGTTAACAGGCCGGTGTATGGGACTTTGCTTTGAAGAACTGCTTTGTCCAATGGCTCCGTGTTAGCAATGACTACATGGCCACTAGCTCCTACGAAAAAGACTCTCTTTTACACCTGCGACCTCTCGTGGCTTCTCCATCCTGGAATACACGGGGTCCCAGGAGGTCCAGCCCCGGGCAGAGGGCTCCAGGCCCCTCGATTGGCGAAGTCAGCAGGATCAAGACCTGTGCTCCCACACTTGGCCCAGTCGGCAGAATGGAGGAGTGAATGCTTCCACCACTGGTACAGTGAGTAGGGCTCAAGGGGGAAGGGACTTGCTCTCACAATTAGCGCGGTGAGCAGGACTTAGGAGTAAGCACTCCAAGAAGGTGCCCTGTTCTGACAGACCTAATCCCCAGCGTGACAGTGTTTAGATGTGGGCCTTTGGGGGTGATTAGGTCATGAGGGTGATTAGGGTCCTTAGAAAAGAAACATACAGCCAGGACCGGTTTGGCTCAATGGATAGAGCGTCGGCTCGGGGACTGAAGGGTCCCGGGTTCGATTCCGGTCAAGGGCATGTACCTTGGTTGCGGGCATATCCCCAGTAGGGGGTGTGCAAGAGGCAGCTGATCAATGACTCTCTCTCATCGATGTTTCTAGCTCTCTATCTCTCTCCCTTCCTCTCTGTACAAAATCAATAAAATATATTAAAAAAAAAAAAAAAAAAGAAACATACAGAGGTCCCGCCCTCCCCCGCACCTTTCTCACAGGCGAGGTTCAGAGAAAAGACAGCCGCCTGGGACGCGGACCCTCTCAGCAGACACCCAGCCTGCCAGCGCCTTGATCTTGGACTTCCCGGCCCCCAGAACTGGGAGAAATACATTTCTGTCGTTCATACGCTCCCCAGTCGATGGTACTGTTACGGCGGCCCAGATGGCTTTTTTCACTTAGCAGTGTGCACCCAGGGGTCCTCTGTGAGGCTTGACAGCTCATTCCTTTTAGCACAGAAAACAAACAAACAAACAAACAAACAAACAAACAAACAAAAGGTTGTCTGGATATACGAGTCCGTTTGTCCATCCACCTGTGAAGAACACCTTGGCTGCTTCAGGTTGTTGGTGCTGGTGAGCAAAGCCAAACACTGGTGTTAACTGTGTAAACAGTGGTGGCAGGTTTGTGCGTGGACAGAAGTTTTCAATTCAATTGGGCAAATACGTAGGAGCTCGGCTGCGGTGAGACTGTGTTGACTTTGTAAGGAGCTGCCCAAATGCCTGGCCAGTGACTGCACCGTTTTGCGTTCCCTCCGGCCATGAATGGGATTCCTGCTGCTCACACCCTTACCAGCCTCGGGTACAGTCAGTGTTTCGGATTTCTGCTCCTGTTGTTTGAGTCGTCCTTTCTCCAACGACCTATGATGTTGAGCTCCTTTTCACACGCTGTCTCTTAAAGTCTTTTGCCAAGTTGTTCATTTTCTTATTCTTTTCCCATCTTGTTCATGCATTTGAGATATGACATTGTATACATCTAAGATGTACAACGTGGTGATCTGGTGTGTGTACATATTGTAAATATTGTAAAATTATGACCGCAAACAAGGTCAGTGAACTTATCCACCACCTCACTTTGCCGCCCTTTTGGGCGTGTATGATGAGAACATTTTAGGTCCACTCCCTTAGCCACTTCCAAATATACAAGATGGTGCTGTTAACTACTGGTATAGTCACCGTCTGTACATTAGATATTAGTCTCATAACCAGAATTCTGTATCCTTTGACTAACATCACCCATCTCCCCCATCCTCCCCACCTCTGGTACCACCACTCTCTCTGAAATCAATAAAAATTATATTTAAAAAATATGCTTCTTCTGTCCACTCAGAAACATCCTACTTTACTACCACTGTGTACATGTGTACATTCTTTTTTTTTTTAATATTTGATTGATTTCAGAGAAAGGGAGAGAGAGAAACATCAATGAAGAGAGAGAATCAGTGATCCGCTCGCTGCCTTCTGCACTGGGGATGGCTGGCTGGAAGGCGTGTGCTGTAAATATACAAAATTAAATGGACGAGCCCCGGGCCTCATAGAGCTTCCAGGAAGCACGGCATAACACCGGACACTGGAGAGGTTCATGGCCTAAAGATGACCCCCCTCCCCCCAGCCTGGACCCCTACACAGCCATGGCTGCAGGGACAGATCCTCTCCACCCACCTCCCCGAGCTCCCTAAACGGCCTGACTCACAGCTCCCTTCCCGCCCCGCCCCGCCCCGCCCCTGACCGCTGGCGGAACCCACTCCCGCCCTGTAGCCCCAGGGCCGCCCTGCCCAGGAGGCGGCACCGGAACCGTTATCCCGCTCGCGGCGCCTCCTGGGGACCAAGCCACATTTTGGGCAGCGGATCCGCACTCACCCCGCCCGGAGCCGCCAGGGGGCGCGCGTCCGCACCGGCCCCCGCCCCACGCCTGTACCGCCCGCCCCGCGGCGAGACGGGGGCTTGCTCCGCGCCACGCGGCTCGGCCAATGGGAGCGCGCGCAGCGGCCCGGCGGTCGGGCCGCGGGAGCTGAAAACCCGGCGCGGCGCCCGGGGGGCAGGCTCGGGGCGCGCGCCGCGGACCCGATCACCGAGCGCGAGGCCGGGGCGCCGTCCGCGGGCATCGGAGCGCGCGCCCGGCTCTTCCGGCGCCGAGGCCCCCAACCCCATGGCCCCCGAGACCCCGGCCCCGCGGCCGGCGCCGCGCTACTTCACGTGGGACGAGGTGGCGCAGCGCGGCGGGCGCGGCCAGGAGCGGTGGCTGGTGATCGAGCGGAAGGTGTACAACGTCAGCGAGTTCACCCGCCGGCACCCCGGCGGCTCCCGGGTCCTGAGCCACTACGCCGGGCAGGATGCGACGGTGAGCCGGCCGCCGGCGCCGGGGGGAGGCGGGGCGCGCCGCCGCGGCCGGGGGTGCAGTGCGCGGGACGGAAGTTTGGCTTCCAGGACTGAACGCCGACTAATTCGGGGGGAAGCCGAGGGACGGGGCGCGCTGTGCACTCGGGTGCACCCGGAGGAGGGGCTGCGGACACCAGTGGGTGGAGGCCGACCGCTCACATCACACAAAAGGCCGCCGGCCCGAGCGGGGCTGGGAACGGCTGCGGGCGGATGCCGGGCGCCGGGGCGGCGGGGCGGCGGCAGGGCTGTCAGCGGAGTGGGAAGGGGCTGAGTGTGCTGGGCCACCCTGGCGAGCGGGCGCAGGAGAGGGAACGGTCCACCGGCGCCGCCGTCCTGGGGGCAGCGGGAGGGCGGGGAAGGGGCCGCGCCGCCGGAGCGTGCTAGCGGCTGCCTGTGCCCTGGGGGGTGGCGAGCTGAAGGTGGGGGAGTGGGTGCATCGACCTGTGCTTGGTGTGCACCCCGTAACGGCCTGCGGATCCGTGGCCGCTCAGCCGCAGGCGGATGCTTTGTGTGTTCCCAGCCGCATCCCGCGTCGCTGCACAGCGGGGTCAGCGCGCCCGGCCCGGCCTCCGCGGCCCCTTCTACCGCCCGGCGCTCAGGCACCCGGCGCCTCCCTGCGGGGCTGAGGAGCTGGGGGTCACCCTTGAGGACCAGAGGTTGGAGCGTGCGCTTCGCCTGTCCCGGTCCCCTCCATCCTTCCCCCATCTTTGGCCTAAGCGGCTGCACCCTTTGCTGTCGCCCCCTCCCCGCTTGCCATCGGCGTCTCCATTGTGGCCAAGCCGAGCACAGGCGCTCCCAGGTGAGGGCCCGCCTGGGGACAAGGCCGGTCTGCGCTCCCACCCCGAGTGTCCGGGGGAGCCCACACCTTGGCCGCCGGCCGAGGCCGAGCCCACGCATGCGCAGGAGCGCAGGAGCGGCGATCCCGCCGGGCCCGCTGGGTGATTCGGGGCTCGGGCTGCCTCGCTGGGCCGGCGATTGGTCTGGCCGCGTGGTGCCACCCGCCGGCTCCGCCCTGGTTCCCGCCTCTCCAGTGGATTCCCCCACAGCCTCGAGGCTTCCCGGTGGATCTTACCACCAAGGACCCCAGCTCCAATCACCAAAATTAGCCGCGGGGGGCGGGGGGGGGGTAACATGGAAGCCAGATGAAAGGGAGGAGGGGAAATGCGATCTCATTTTCTGGAGCCGGGCTGAAGTCCCACAGAGGTGTCCCAGCTCCAGGCATCCCTGTTTCTCATCCACTCGGGATGGAATCCCGTGGGAACGGGAAACGCCTGGGGAAAGGACCTCCTGTTGGTTGGTGTGGTGCCTTTCTCACCAACTACAGGTGCTGGGAGCTGTAGACACCTAGACTAGGCGTGAGCACCGGCAGAGGGCAGCTGGCGGGGAAGGGGGGGCAGGTGGTGTCTGTTTGAACTTCCGTGCAGCCTCCTTGCTGACCTTGGTTGGGAGCCCTCCAGAGTCCCAGGGGGCCAGCCCGGCTTCCTCACGGCCCCGCCTTCTCCCCATCTTTGCAGGACCCCTTTGTGGCATTCCACATCGACAAGGGCCTCGTGAGGAAGTACATGAACTCGCTCCTGATTGGAGAGCTGTCTCCGGAGCAGCCCAGCTTCGAGCCCACGAAGAATGTGAGACCCTGCTTGCTGTGGGGAGACCCCGTGCTTGGGGAGGGGCAGAGGGAGAAGGCAGGCCTGGACAGGGTCATGGGTAACTGTGGTCAGTAGTTCCGGGGGATCTTGAGGTCCCCGGTTCTGCTGAATCAGTGGGTCACAGGCCCAAGGGAGGGGGTCTCTGGGATCCATGGGTCTCACAGGGCCACCACCCTGACCATAGTCATCAACAGGAAACCGATTTTGAGCACCTACTGTGTGCCAAGCATAACCTCCTATGGCCCTCACGCACTGACAGATGAGAATACTGGGCTGCATAAGCTAAGCAGCGTGGCCAAGGGTCGGTCACACGCTGGCAGAGGCAGCTCAGGGCCTGGAATCCAGTCTGAGTGCCAGTGACCACGTGCTCTTGGGCGTGACCCCATAGCCCCTCCTCCTGCCGTCCTCCCTGGGTGGGTGATGTTTTTAGGGAAGACAGTTACCCAGGTGCGGGGAGGGGGTTGTGTCCTTGAGCCTACGAGGCCCCGGCCAGCCGGCAGGGTCACGTGCAGCTGGAGAATAGCAGCTTCCCGCTTCCCTCTTCCTCAGAAAGAGCTGACCGAGGAGTTCCGGGAGCTGCGGGCCACCGTCGAGCGGATGGGGCTCATGAAGGCCAACCATGCCTTCTTCCTGCTGCACCTGCTGCACATCCTGCTGCTGGACGCGGCCGCCTGGCTCACGCTGTGGGCCTTCGGGACGTCCCTCGTGCCCTTCGTCCTCTGTGCGGTGCTGCTCAGCGCGGTGCAGGTGAGAGCCCTCGGCGTGGCAGGAGCACGCCGGCCCCGGCCAGCGTGGCTCCGTGGATAGAGTGTAGGCCTGCGGACTGCAGGGTCCTGGTTCGATTGCTGTCAAGCGCACTTGCCCGCATTTTGGGCTTGATTCCCAGTAGGCGGCGTGCAGGAGGCAGCCGATCAGTGATGAGTGATTATCATCACTCATGTTTCTCTCTCCCTCTCCCTTCCTCTCTGAAGTCAACAGAAACATATAAAAATAAAATAAAATAAAATAAAGAGCAGCCGAAACCGGTTTGGCTCAGTGGATAGAGCGTCGGCCTGCAGACTGAAGGGTCCCGGGTTCGATTCCGGGCAAGGGCATGTACCTTGGTTGCAGGCACATCCCCAGTGGGGGTGTGCAAGAGGCAGCTGATCAATGATTCTCTCTCATCAGTGTTTCTCTCTATCCCTCTCTTTCTCTCTGTGAAAAATCAATAAAATATATTTTAAAAAAAAAGAGCATCGCCATGCCCAGCATCCCTTAGGGAAACTCTTACCCTCAGGAGGTCAAGGTGCCCCCCATCTGATGGGCAGAGCTGAGGACACGCGGGAGAGTCGGAAAAACAGAGCATGTGCACCGTTGTCTGTGGCTTTCTTCTGTTCGCTGGTCGCTGTGCACCTTCATGCCTCTCCCTGCCGCTCCAGCTGCTTCTCCCAGACCTCCCCCCCCACGCCTTGTTTTTTACATTATTTTATTGATTTTTTGCGGAGAGGAAGGGAGAGGGAGAGAGAGCTAGATACATCAATCAACTGCCTCCTGAATGTGCCCGCAACCAAGGTACATGCATGCCCTTGACCGGAATCGAACCTGGGACCCTTCAGTCCGCAGGCCGGCGCTCTATCCACCGAGCCAAACCGGTCAGGGCTAGGGCTCCCTTTTCTCCTGTGAAATTTCTCCTCGGGAAGTTCCTGCTCAGGTTCTGCCACGGCCCGAGGGTGCCAAGAACCACGATCTGCTTTATCAGCAAAGCTTGGTTTCCTCCCCGGCACAAGGCAGCCCAGCGTGCTGATAAAGCGTGGGCTCCAACACTCGCTGCCTGGATGCATTTGCCAGGCCTCTGAGTGTGTCACTGTGCTTCTCTGTGGCCTGGATGCCAGCCCATGGTATGTCAAGGTCTCCCGGCCAGGGGAACTAACGGGCAGGGGAGGAAATGTGCGTGGATCCAGCTTTCCCACGAGTTGGTGCCACAGCCAGCGGCCGGGCCAGGCTTGCCAACTTCTCTCCTGGAGAGCTCCGTTAGGGGCCTGCAGCACTGGCGGCCTCGGTGGGTGAGGTTGAGAGACTGAAGGTCAGTGAGGGACGCCGGGCTCAGCACTGACCTCTCTCATCCAGGCCCAGGCTGGTTGGCTGCAGCACGACTTTGGGCACCTGTCTGTCTTCAGCACCTCTACATGGAACCACCTGCTCCATCATTTCGTGGTCGGCCACCTGAAGGTCAGTGGCACGGGGCGGGGCTTTCTGAAACTGGCTAATGAAGGACTACCTGGGGGGCAGGAAGGGGAGGGTTAGGCCTTCATACTCAAGCCCCTGCCTTTCTGTAGGGGGCCCCCGCCAGCTGGTGGAACCACTTGCACTTCCAGCACCACGCCAAGCCCAACTGCTTCCGCAAAGACCCAGACATCAACATGCACCCCTTCTTCTTTGCCTTGGGGAAGATCCTCTCCGTGGAGGTGAGCAGAGGCGCGAGGGGAGGTCTGGGAGAATGGAGACCTGCCAGCCCCGAGGGCTGGGGGAATGCTCACAGTGCTGCCAGGGGAGGATGACACTGGCTGGCTGCCTGGAAGTTGTGGGAGGCGACAGGCACCCGCGGGCTGCACAGCACAGAACCACCTGTTCTCCCGAGTGAGTTCAGACTGGCAGAGTGGTTACTGTGTACAGGTGCCACATGCTGCTGAGGACCCAAAGGGTAACCGGGACCACTGTGCAGACACCCCGCCTGTCCTTGGGAGTGAGGGACGGCCCTCGTCGGAGGTTTTTTTTTTCTGACAGTCCCACCCCAGGCAGCAGCCCTCCCCTCCGGCTTCTCGCTCGATGCCTCTCTCGTACTTTATATCCTACTGTGTCACAGACTTCCCCATCCAGGCCATGACGGTCTCCTCTCCTGTGACACCCAGTGCTTGGAACATTCATTCACCAAATAATTCCTCCCGCCCAGTCTCACTTCCAGGGTGGGCAGTGTTGGGTTTGAGTTGTCATCTGCGGCCAGCAGAGTTCTTCAAAAGGCTAATGTGGCCCTGGCCGGGCGGCTCAGTGATTGGAGCATTGTCCTATACACCAAGAGGTGCGGGGGTTCGATCCCCAATTGGGGCGTGTATGGGAGACAAGCGAACAATGTTTCTCCATTTCTATCTCTAAAAATCGATCGATTGAGTGGGGATTTAAAATACAAGCAGCGAATGTAAAACCCTCCGCCCCCAGTCTCCCGGCTGCAGCCAGAGCTCTGCCAGGTCCCCTTCCACCGTGCTCCACGGCACTGCAGCCTGCCAGGAATTAAACGGCTGCTGACTCGGTCCAGGCCCAGGCATGAGTTCAGCGTGGCCTGGCTCTCCACCCCACTCTGGCCTGAGAAGAACTCTGTGGAAAGCTGCTGGCAGCACTGGCTGGCCTGGCACCAGGAGCCTCGAGCTTGAAGCTTGTGTCTCACGGCCCGTAACGTCCTAACTCCCACCTCCTAACTCCCACCTCCTAACCGGTACACATGTGGATTGATGCCTGTCCACCACTGCGTTCCAGTCAACAGTGTGAGGGGATGCGGGCGGACACTTTGGGGTTCGGGCAGACACTTTGGGGCAGTGTGGCTCCCTTATCGGGCAGAGCATGGAGCTCTCGGCAGCACTTCACACTTAAAAACAACATGGGAGCCTCCGTGGAAGGGAACCTCTCACTCCACTGCCATATTGCTTCTTGGCTCTAGGGTGTGAGGAGATTCCTGTCCATAGACACCGAGACTAGAGAATGATCTGGGACCAAAGTACCACCCCCTTTTTTTGGCCTGCTTATGAGGCTGAAGACAGGCTGCCCGCTAGTATGCTAGTAAATGCCCGGCTCCCGGCTGCTTGGTGGGCCACCCTCTCTGGGAGTGGTTTACCGGGGCACTGATCCCCGTGCTGACCCGCCTCTGCCTCCCAGCTCTCCTGGAGGACAAGAGGTACAGAGGACACTTCACCCTAATAGGACCCTCTGGCTTCCCAGGGTCAAAGCACAAGGGGGCAGCGATTAGGACCATAATGGACAGGCCTCCCTTCCATAACTGTCCCACCCACCAGCCAATGAGACTTGCTCTTCCATTTCCTCTCTCAGCTAGTGATGCTTGGGGCGAGATAACCTTCATCCCCATTTCAGCAAGCCTTGTTGTTTTCTTTTAAAATATATTTTTATTGATTTCAGAGAGGAAGGGAGAGGGAGAGATAAAAACATCAATGGTGTGAGAGAATCATGGATCAGCTGCCTCCTGCACACCCCATACTGGGGATTGAGCCTGAAACCCAGGCATGTGCCCTAACCAGAAATGGAACTGTGACCTCCTGGTCATAGGTTGACACTCAACCACTGAGCCACACCAGCAGGGCTCAACAAGCCCTGTTAATACTGCTTTCAAAACAGACCTCAAATCTATATTGATTTCTCCAGCTCCATGGCTTCCCCTCCCCAGGTCTGGTCATTTGGGGTCTAGATTATTGTTCTAGTGCAGTGGTCGGCAAACTCATTAGTCATCAGAGCCAAATATCAACAGCACAACAATTAAAATTTCTTTTGAGAGCCAATTTTTTTAAACTTCTTCTAACACCACTTTTTCAAAATAGACTCTTCCAGGCTGTGGTATTTTGTGGAAGAGCCACACTCAAGGGGCCAAAGAGCCACATGTTGCTTGAGAGCGCAGTTTGCCGACCATAGCTCTAGGCTCCTCGCTGGTCTCCTTGTGACTGTACCTGCCCCCCCTGCAAATAATTCATTCTCCCCAGGCAGCCAGAGAGCCTTTTAAAGCACAAAATGGCTCTTGCCACACCCACCGAAAGCTCCCTAGCGACTTCCCATCACCATGGGAATAAAAGCCAACCTCCTGACCATGGCTTTCTAAGGTCCGGCATGATCTGGCCACCCATCGCTAGTTTTCTGGCCTAACTATTCTCCCCTGCTGCTTACTGTTCCCAGTCACATGATCTTTCTGTTCCTGGATTATCTTAAGCCTTTGTACTGGCTGTTCTTTCGGTTATAAATGCTCTTCCCCTGAAGCTTCACATTGCTGCCTCCTTCTCGTTACTCAGTTCTCAGTTCAGGGAACCCCCCCCCCAAAAAAAAAAACACTGCCTACCTCACATTCTCTTAGGTTTTCTTGTTTTTAATCTATAACTACAGACTTATCGCCGGCTTCCTGGCAGGTTACAAATTCCACAAGGGTAGGGATTTTGTACCGTTCACCTCTGTATCCTCAGCACCTGGAACAGTGCCTGGCACACCGTAGGTGCTCAATAAATGCTTGTCGAGTGAATGAATCCTTTAGCAGAAGTGCCTGGCAGAGAACAACTCAGTAGACGACCTGTCACAGCAGCAGGGAGACGGTGGAAGGAGAAGGAACAGGCATTGTGCTCCGGATGGAGCACCTCTCCCGCCCGTGGCTGTCTGGTTGCCATAACTAAGTGGGGCAGGAGGAGCAGAGGAGCCACCAAGTGAGACGGCAGGGCTTTGCTGTTGTGCCAGGGGTTCCACGCTGGCTGGCTGTCCTGGCGGCCCCGGCTTACCTCTTCGGCAGCTACGCTTACAAAACCACCACCACCCGCTGGGAAAAACTTTCCCAGCACCTTCGGAATGCCAAATTGTTCTTGATTCCCTGGCCATAAATTATTTGCCAAACTCTGCTTAGCTTTCAAGGGGTTTTAGAAAGCTCAGAGACCAAAAGATTGTGATGGGAAATGCCAGGGGCTGGATGTAAAGGGAATACTGACTGCAGGAGACGTGTCAACACAGTATGGAAGGGGGGGGGGGGGAGGAGGGGAAAGGAGGGGTTGGAAACCTCACCACGAAGCTGTCTTTGAGTAAACATGAGGGGTGCTGAGGACTTGAAGACACAGTTGTGTACGCATCTCCCACGGCCATGAGCTGGCTTCACGTGCCGGTGCTGGAGTCAGACTGGGCCTGCTGGAGCCATCCGTCCAGCAGCAGCAGCCCTGGAGCAGGCCTGAGCTGAGCCAAGGTCAAAGCGGGAGGGGAATGGTGACTGGTCCCGGTGCGGAGCTGTGTTTGCTTTTCTTCGCAGCTTGGGAAACAGAAGAAGAAGTACATGCCGTACAACCACCAACACAAATACTTCTTCCTGAGTGAGTGTCCCCATCAGCACCAGGAGACTCTGGGGATGGGGGCGGGGTACGGGCGGGGGCTGAAGGGGTGTGAGGAGGAGAGGAGGAAAGGATCCTGGTATTTCAGGTAAAGGCTGGAGGGAGCACCTGACCCAGCAGGTTACTTCCGGCTTGGGAGCAGTCTGCCATCTCCGCTAAGGAACAGCCCTGTGAGCCTGATGTTGCATCAGGTTCCTCCAGTCCCAACCTGTTGAATCAGGTTCCTCCAGTCCCACCCTCCAGTCCACCGGAGCATTGAATGGCCATCCCGATGAAACCTCACCTCAAAACTTGTCAAACAGTGACCTGGGTCAAGGTGACCCAGTGGGGCGTAGTCCCACCCCCAGAGACTTGTGGAGGTAGCCAAGGAGGATTGGACCTGAAGAGGGATTGGAGGAGCGGCTGGAAAAAGGAGGAGCCTTCTGAAGACAGCTACGATCCCTGCTTTAAAACTGCTCCCTGGCACTTACAGTTGGAGTGTTTAAAGGAAGGGAAGGGATGGCTCCATTGATCCCATTTTAGTTCAAAGGAACTTCCCCCAACTGCCAGCTACCGGCCCTCCCTGCTGGGGGAAGGGGTGGGGTAGAGGGTGGAACAGAACTGTCCAGAAGAAAGGATGGTGGAAGGCGGGACACCTCAGGGTGGTGGAGCCGTGGGCAGGCACAGTGATGGGGCTTCTGCAGAGAAGGGGCAGCACACCGGACACTGTCCGCCTCCTCAGCTCCCAGTGTTCACCCCTTCCCCCAGTGACCGCTGGGCTTTGGGTTGGGTGGGAGTGAGCTTCTAGCCCATACCCCCTGTCCTCCCCCCCCGCCCCCTTTCTCTTTCCCTTCTGCCCCTTCCATGTTGGAGCAGCCAGGTGCACAGGGCAGCTGATGGCAAGGACAGGCATAGGGTCAGGAGGAAGGCCCGGTGTGGGCAGGGCTGTAGCCAGGACAACGAGGGAGTGTCAGCCGGGCCCTTTGAAAGGAGCAGAGCAGTTCCCTAGCTGCCGCCTTCTGCTGGAAGGTTGCCACCCTCCCCTGCTGGCATCCTCTTGGGAGACTGACTGCCTCTGCAGACTTGCATTCACCGCACCTCCAGTGCCCGCTGGCTCCATGGAGGAGTGCCAAGCAGCAGGGCAACAGGAGGAGATGCCAGAGGCCAGCCCTTCAGGGCTCTCACGCTGCTCACACCTCCTCCCCATCTCCATTTCCTCCCCAGTTGGGCCCCCAGCCCTGCTACCTCTCTACTTCCAGTGGTACATCTTCTACTTCGTCATCCAGCGGAAGAAGTGGGTGGTGAGTATCCTGGCCCATGAGCCCCGCGTCCTGTGTCCCCAGTTCCCTGAGGGTGGGGCAGGGCTTTCCAGGGGAACCACTGAGCTTCCCTCCAGGCAGGACTGAGAGCAGAACCAGGCGTAGTTCTCCCTTATCTGTAGGTGGGGTGACTCAGGCGCCCCCTGCCCTGTTCCCGTCAGCAGTGTCTCCTGAGGTTCTTTGCTGGGCTTGGCCAGGGGCAGGCTGGGGAATGGGCAAGACAGTGAGAGTGGGCATCTTCTCCCAGGAAATGTCTTACGAAGCAGGTGGAGGATGTGGTTGGCACCGGGATGAGGTTCAGGCGGAGGAGATTCTCAGATCCTGAGATTCCAAAAGGGCCCTGACCACACTCGGATAGGTCAAAGGCCTCAGAAAGGCACTGTCGCGTCCCGTGTACCAACTGCCTTTGGGGGACAGACAGATGTGGGTGCAGGGAGGCCCTGGGACAGGCAAGGAGGGCCGGGGTGCCTCTAGGAATGGAAGGAAGGAGCCATGGCATTAGACCCTGCAGGACTGGGCACTTGGGAGGGACAGACAATTACTAAGTGTGGGTCCCAGGGAGAGGGGCACACAGGCCCCGTGAGGAAGAGGAGGGAGCGCCCTGTGCCCGACGTCACGCTCTGTTCTCTGCAGGACCTGGCCTGGATGATCACCTTCTACGTCCGCATCGCCCTCACCTACACGCCCCTGCTGGGGGTGAAGGGCCTCCTGGGCCTGTTCTTCATGGTCAGGTAGGGGGTGTGTGTGTGGGGTTGGGGAGAGGGGCTGGCGGAGATGTTTGGGGTAACCAGTCTGGAGTGGGGGCGGTGCGGGGCTTTGGGTGGGAGGTATTTCTGGTGTTGGCCTGGGAAGGAGGCCAGGCTGGAGCCGTTCCTGAGGGAGAGGAACTCAGCTGTGTGTGCTGTTTGTGTGTTACACCTCCAGGTTCCTGGAGAGCAACTGGTTTGTGTGGGTGACGCAGATGAACCATATCCCCATGCACATTGACTACGACCAGAACAAGGACTGGGTCTCCACCCAGGTGAGGGACGGCGGCCTGGAAGAATGAGGCCGGACATGACTCAGAGCAAGTGGGTGGGCATACGCGGGGCAGGGGCAGGGAGCAGTGACCACACAAGCCCCCGGCAGCATCGCCTCACCATGTGGAGAGGCAGTGACCGGGCACAGCCCCCAGCTCCTCTGCTCGGACAGCATGGCCTGAGGCCTAGACTGGCCTCCGCACTGGTACCGAGCATGCCTCCCCCCTCTTCCTCCAGCTCCAGGCGACGTGCAACGTGCACGAGTCGGCCTTCAATGACTGGTTCAGCGGGCACCTCAACTTCCAGATCGAACACCAGTGAGTCAACTGGAAGCAGGGCCTTGGGCTGGGTCCACGATGGGGCTGGGGCTGGGGGTGGGGGAGCGAGGAGCAGAAGCCCTGACGGCCTGTTCTTTCGAAGCCTCTTTCCCACGATGCCGCGACACAATTACCACAAAGTGGCCCCCCTGGTGCGCTCCCTGTGCGCCAAGCACGGCATCAAGTACCAGTCCAAGCCCCTGCTCACGGCCTTCGCAGACATTGTGCAGTGAGTATGAGCCTGGGAGATGGCTGGTGGGGAGGGAAGTGGGGCGGGCGAAGGGTGGCTGGAGGGATAGGAAGGCTTCCCCCATGGAATGGAGCTTACCGAGGCCAGAGCAGGGCGCTCCGTTGTGGCCAACTCAGTCCTCCACTCTCCATGCGTGGCCCAAGCTCCTACTCAGATGAAGGGGAAGAAGAATCCACATGGAAGGGAGGGGCCTCGAGCCATGTGACAGCTCCCAGGCCTCTGAGAGCGCCCCAGATCTTACCTTCCTGGTGGGTGGTTGGCTTTGGGGCTCGGCACTGCCCTGTCCCTCACTGCCTGCTCCCTCTTCCATCTTCTCCCACAGCTCACTGAAGGAGTCAGGGCAACTCTGGCTAGATGCCTATCTTCACCAATAACGGCAGCCCCCTCCTGGGAGAGGAACCTCCGGAGCCAAAGCAGAAGGAAGCCCCAGGGAGCGCCACTACAATCCTAACTGCCAGAGGGGGTGGGTTTGAGATCAAGGCTCTGGCTCAAACCCCTCCCCTCTCCCTTCTGGGTAGATTTAGGACCCAAAGAGGGAGGGGAACACGCAAGCCCCTGGAGGAGGATGGAGCTGAAGGGCAGGGTGTGAGTTTGTTTTTTCTAGTGTCTGATGTAGGGGGTTGGTGAGCAAGAGGGAGTCGGGAAGGTGTGAGAATAGGGAGAACCAACAGAGCCTGGAAATCAGGCGGTTTAGCAGTAAAATCCCACCAGGAAAGGGGCGAGCTCATCTGACTGGTCCACTGCACCCTCGTGAGCAGGGTTTGGAAAGGAAGCATCGTGCTGGGAACTCTGGGGCCAGCCCCATGCAGCGCTGGGGGCTCCGCTCGCTTTAGGGCCTCGGTTCCTGGAGAAGCGATTTCTCCACTTTCAGAAGCACGCGAGGCAAAGGCCGGGCTGTGGTATGGGAGGCCTCTGGCCCCGAAGGATCCTGCCTCTACTGATGTTGGTCCATGTTCCATCCAGAGTCCCAAGGGAGCCTCAGGTCCTAGGTCCTGCCAAAATGCCAGGCATTAAAATTCCTTCAGCTGTCCACCTCTTCTCACCAGCACCTAAGGAGTGAGACATTCCTCGGACAGGGAGTCCACTTCTTGCTCCACAAGCAAATGAGCAGATGGGGCAACTTGCTCTCCTCCTCAGACACAAATGGGGCCCTAGGGATTCTCTGCTTCCCTACCTGTGACGCCAAGCTTAATACTTGAGCACAAGTTTCCAAGTGGGGAGACGCCAGTCAGGAGGGAGACACAGGGCTGACCATAAAGGCAAGAAATGTCCTTAACGCAGGTTATGTACAGTATTACCTCTGAGCAGGAGCAGCAGGGTTCAATGTCACCGCTTCCTAGTTCTAAACCAGAAATAGGAAGTAAACAGAAGTCCGTGGTCACGGGACCATCTGGTGCTGCCATTAGGCATCTTGCTCTGTCAGTTCTGTCCCAGGATCTCTCTGTGCCGGAGACCAGGTAGGGATTTATATGATCTTAGTTCAGAACCGAGGTGCCATTTTTTAAATCTGCTTTTTAAAAGGAAGTTTAACCCATCTCCAGAGAGCAAGCAGGAGTGTGCCCGAGGAGTCTCGCTAACTGCATTACTTGGCATCAGCATTCACACCCTCCACTCCCCGCACCCACCCAAGGAGGATTGAGCCTTGGGGGCCCTGGGAGGAGGGAAGCTCACACTAGAAGGAAAGCAGAGCCCTGGGAGAGCTGGCTTTTAGCTAGGGGGGGATGACGGGCCTACTGCATGTTGGGAGGGACTAGAGGCACCCCCTATGGAAAGGGTGTGGATTACTTAGCCGCCTGTCCAAACAAGGAGAAATGTAAAAAACAGGTTGGGAGGAACAGGTAACAAGAGTTCAGAGCTTTTTCACTGGGGCAGAACCTGGTTTAAATTACACGCACAATTGAAGTGCTGGCTTCCTCACTCCACAATAGGTGCTGATCCCCACCCCTCAGCTCCCTGCTACCTGAGGTCTGGGTGTGGTATCACAGGCCTGACAAGCTATCTGGCTTTGGGCCCGGGCTGAGCAAACCCAGTGAAGCTCACTGAGCCAAGTCCAGATCCTCAAAGCACCTCAGATGTGTGGCCTTCTCCTTAGCCCAGGCCAGTGTGGTCTCATGTGGCCCATAAGGGACACACCGCTGATTACAGTGGTAACAGGAGCGATCTCCAATCCGAGGACAGCCCAGGAAACAGGCTCAGAACACGCAGCCTCAGGTCACAGATTGTGGCAGAACTAACATCGGACCTCGCTTCTGAAAAAGTCCCAGTGTCTGCGTGTGTGTCATTTCACCTTCCTCCCACTTGGCCAGAGGCCTTCTCTCACCGGCCCAGCAGCACTATCCTGTTTGTACACACCAACTACACCAACTGTTCCCACAGCCTGGAGGGAAACTGAAAAATAAAGCGGATTTTGACCAAATGAAGGCTCCTCACTTGTAACCCACAGTGATTTGCACATCCAAAGGACTCCCCGTGCCTGTTCTTCATGTCACTGACTACATCTATGATCTAATTCTTTCTGGACGTGTTTTGAACATGAATCCCCGCACAGCCTGCCCGTTGCACAGGCCCCATGGGCAGAAGAGGGAACGTTAGGAATCCAGGGAACAGCACGGGTGAACTGTGGCAAAGAAAAGAAAAGCAAGCCCCTACCTGTACGTTCAAATGCTAGCTACACTAGGTTTTGTATATCCCTCCTATGAGGTGATGCCCTCACCCTTGCACCCATTTCTAGTCTCAGTGTACTAAGTCTCTGTACTAGTGTATGGGTAGTCCCTGTAGGTTTCCTTTTGCCTAATCTCCCTCTGCAGGCACCATGCCTCAGCTGGACTATAAAGCGATGCTTTTCTAAACTCCATCCTACTACCGGTAGAACAACAATCTTTGAGCCAGCATATGCTAAATAAAGGTTGGCAGACTTCTCACTGGTCTAATCAGATAGATCTGAGATTAGCAAGATAAAATAACCACATTTAGACATTTGTATGGGAACCCAGATACAGAGAGACTCCACCTACACTAGAGGCTTGGATATACGCTCTGAAGGAGGGGTTAGGTACAGTGCCTTGGGGCTTCAAAGGGACATTGCAGGAGAGCAGATTTACTGTTTTTTTTTTCTGAGAAAAAACTTATTCAAATGCAAAAAAAAAAAGTTTGTCCCAACCGACAGACATCAGTTATCTGAGTGAAAAGAACACTATATTCTGCCTACCTTTCTAAATGCTACAAAATTAGAAAATCAAACAGGACAGCTCTCCACCATGTTTATCGGGATTGTAATCTTGCAAAGTACAAAAAAATCCCACCTCTATGAGAGACTGCAGCCTATCTAATCAGCGGTGGGGAACATCCAGCCCAGGGTTGTATAAGCTCACAGTCATTTGATCTGATCCTGCCAAGGCATTAAGGGTGAGTTAATTGTTTGACAAAATATAACAAGGCTATTTTTGTTAATCCTCAGAGAGTATTTTTCCATTGATTTTTTTAGAGAGGGAAGGAGAAACATTGACGAGAGAGAAACACATCTATTGGCTGCCTCCTGCATGAGGCCCTAACCAGGGCCCAGGCTGGAGAAGCCTGCAACCAAGGTAAATGCCCTTGACCGAAATCAAACCCGGAACCTTTTGGTCCACAGGCCAATGCTCTATCCGCTGAGCCAATCCGGCTATGGCTAACTTTTAAGTTGATAATTTTGTAAATGATGTTACAAATATCCAAATGGCCCTTGGCAGAAAAAGGTTCTCCATCCCTGACTAAATTGTGAGCCTTTCTCAAAGAGTTTCTTTATCTCACATAGTAGGTGGAAAACGGGTAACTCTGTTCCTAGCAAGATAAACGCATCCTCCAAAGTACCTACCACCCAAGTTCCTTTAGCCATTCAATGGGGGCATAGCGCCATCTTGTGGCCAGGCTCAAACCACCTGTTAATAGTTGGTTTCTTATTCCAGCATGTTATGTTAGAAATGAACACTATTTTCTGTCTACTTTTATTGACTTTTTCCCCCCATACATTTAAAACAAAAAATAGCACATGACAATAGCATCTTATCCCAAAGTTTCAACTCAGTTGACTGCCTCAGAGGGGCCATGAGAACTAAGCCACCTTATGCCTCTGAATAACTAACTAAAGATTCAAGTTACAAAGCAAGTTCAAGTTTCTGCCCAGCCGAGATACACAGCCAATGATGAAACAACACGTTTCGGACTCCAGCTCTCCGCCTGTCTTATTTCCCAGTAGCTCTTCCTCTCTGATCAGACTGAATCGTCCTGCTGGCTATCCTCAGGGTGGGTCAAGGCTGAACCAGAGAGAAAAGTGCAGTCTGGTTCCACAGTTGTGGACTAACAGCTGGCTAGCTAGGAAGTCATCTCCATACAGTCTTTTGTCTCCACCGTTTGGCTTCCTCTCACTTTTATGTAACAGTTGGACTCAATGTTCATTAAGTTGACTGAAGGGTGGTTTGAGACGGGCATACTTTCCTGAGCTAAAATAGAAAACAAAGTACCTCTGTGGCCGTCCTGCCATGAGATCAAGTAAAAAAGGGAAAAGCGCTACTGAGAAGAAGGGCAGTCCTGGAGAAGCAATGCAATCCAATCCCCTCCCTGCCCCGAGCAGGTTTCTCTAGCACTAGCTCTTGAGGGTACGAGGCAGATATTCTGGGGTCAAGGAGGTATAATGAAGGGAAACGCATTTATTTCCCCCTTTTAAACTTCCCTGCTGCCCCAGTCTTTGCCTTCTTCTTGGCGGATCCCTTGGGTTCCGGCTCCTTGCGCTTAGCTGAAGACAGAGAGCCGGTCACCTTGAAGAAATCGTCCAGGCGGCCCTGGGTGCTGCCTTGGCGACTCTTGTTCAGCCGCTTGACCCCGCTGCGGATGCGCTCCTCGGAGAACTGCTTTTCGCCACACATGAACTTGACGAGCTCCTCTTCGTTTGGCTCACTCCACTTCAGCTCCACAGATTCCGGGTCCAGCACCTCTGGCTCCAGGAACAGCTGCTGGGCCTCCTTGTGGAGCCAGTTTTCTGGCACAGGGTACTTGTTGGGATCCAGCCGACGCACAATCTCCTCGATGCTCTTGTGCTTCTGGATGAGGTCCACGGCCCGCTTGGGCCCGATGCCCCGGATGCTCTCGCAGTAGTCGCTGCCCAGCAGGATGCACAGGTCCACAAACTGCTCCTGGTTCAGGCCCAGCTCCTGGAGAATCCGGCTCAGGTGAAATTCCTGGATGGGCAGCTTCTTGGCCTCGCTGGCCGTCAGGTGCCGCATGAGCACAGGGGTGCCGAAGGTCAGACAATCCATGTCCTCCGTGGCCGCAGCGTAGACTTTGCCAGCCTTCACCAGGGCTGCACAGCTGGCCTCTGCTTCACTGGGGGCATCGAGGTACGGGATGCCCATGAGGCTCAGTAGGTGCTTGCACTCATCATTGTGTTGCTTGGTGACCTTCACCAGCCGCTTGGTGAACTTCTCCACCTCCCCCTCGGCCCCAGCAGCCTGAGCCTGATGCAGCTGCTTCTCCGCCTCAGCCCGCCGCTCACTGCGCTTGGCCAGCTCACCAGACTTGAGCTGCGGTGGCTTGCCGTCAAAGACATACACGGGCTTGATGCCTTTCTCTATCATGCGGATGGTGCTGTAGAACATGCCCATCAGGTGGCTGGTGGTCTCGCCCTCCTCATTCTGCAGCACATCCCCACCCTGGCGAACAGCAATCAGGAACTGGTAAATGCTCATGGAGGCATCGATGGCCACCTTGCGGCCAAAGTAGCTCTTGATGTCATTCTCCCGAATGGCACTGGGGGCCACATCAGCAATCAGTTTGGCCAGGCCTTGAATACCCATAGCGGGAGGGACAGCTGGAAAAGAAAGGCAAGTAACTCAGGGAGGAACTTAAAGGACGGGGGGGGAAAAAAGGTTGTAATTGGTGCTATCTCAAACAAATTTAACACAACAAAAAGGAAACCAAGTTAGCAGCATAGAAGATGAAGAGATGAAGAAAACAAGGTTTCCACCGGCCAGAAACTTACAGTCTAGTAAGGAACTCCATTCAATACTAACTAAGGCTTCCTGAGTAGAACTAAATTGGGTGCTAAAAGGAATAAGACGCTGTTGAGGTCCTTAAGGGACTTAATATTTTGTGGATAAAGCAGCTACAGGACTAGTATACAATAGGAGCTAAGCAGACATCTGCATCCGTATTATGCAAATCCAGAGTGTATCTGGCCCAACTTGAGGAGGCCAGGGATCACAAAGGCAAAACTGAGCCCTGCAGGACAGGCAAATACTGGTTAGGGCCATGGCTGAGTAGCTCGGTTGGTTAGAGCATCATCCAGATAAGCCACGGTTGCAGTGCAGATTCTATCCCTGGTCAGGAAACACACAAGAATCAATCAATGAATTCATCAATATGTGGAACAAATGGATGTTTCTCCCTCATGCCTTCTTCTTGATCTAAAAATATATTTAAATTAAACACACACACACACACACCACACAACTGGTTAGGCAAAGGTGAAATGAGACAGTTACCACTGCAAACACAATTCTCAGCTGAATATGTAAAGTGGTAAAATAAACATCAGTATCCATCTTCTTGCCGTATGTGAAAACCACATTTACTCTTTCCCAAATCATTCCTCCGCCTTCCTGCCCTAAGCAGCTGTGATGGTGAGTGTTCTGTGTCCATGTGGCTAGGCTACCTGTATCCCGTTATTTAACAAATACCGATCCAGGTGTTGCTGGGATGGTATTTTGTAGAGTTGGATCACATCTGTAATCAGTTGACTTTAAGTGAGAGAGATTGCTCTCCATGTAGCCGGTGGGTCTCACCCAATCATTTGGACAACCTTCCCAGCAAAAACTGAGGTGTCAGGAAGACATTCTGCCTCAAGACGGCAGCGTTAATTCGCGCCCGAGCTCCCAGCCTGCAGACCTGCCCCTGCACTTTTGGACTTGCCAACTCCTACAATCACCTAAGCCAATTCCTTCAAATTAAGTCTCTCTAGGTTGCTCTGATAGGGGCAGAAACAGAATGCTGGGGAACCAGCCAGAATGGTAAGAAATATGAATCCTGACTGCTTTATTCTGCGTAAATAAGGCAGTTCTAACCTGGCTGGCAGACGCACTTGGGACCTGGGCGCTCACCAGGAAACGCACTGCCCTCGCCATCACGGAAAGATGAACGACTTTGCTGAAGAAACCAGAATCTCTCGCTCTTTGAAGACCTCAGCCCTTGCGTACCACTAAGCTCCCTGGCCCTGTTGCATACCTGCAAGGCCTTGGCAAACCTCCAGCCTGCTTCCCTGTCCAACTGGCTCTTTCACTGTGTACCCTTGTAAGCAGCTGGCTTTTGGGGGGCCGCAGAGCAGATTTTTGTGGATGACTTGATATGCTCTCCCCATACTCCCGGCAGCATGGGGACAATCGATCATACATGATTCAATCCGGTCTCTGCTTAATTGGCTCAAGAGGAGGCAGGCGGCACGGACCCACGATTGTCCGCTTACAGATCCATGTGCCATGCACCTACCGTATCTGTTCTTTCCTGGAGACCCTGACGCAGACAGCACCCCGAAGAACGGAGTGATGGGCTTTTCCACACGCAGCACGGACCTCCCTTCCGTGTCCCGGCAGCACCCAGGAGACGCTGCTGGAAGTTTAAGTCCTTCCCTGGTCTGCTCGCTCCACCACCGCGACAGGACGGTGCATTCCACGGCTCCCACAGATCCCAGGCCCTGACTCCCTCACTCCGCCCAGGGCTGAGTTTCCATGGTTCCGGCCCCTTCACACCTAAAAAAACCGCCCTCACGATTTGATTTTATTTTTGCTCCTTCCATCCAAACCTGTACTTTCATCCACTTAAAAGTAAGAGTTTTGTGTGTGTGTCACTCAGAGTCATCCCGTACCCACTGGGGGTCTGTGTCCAACGCCTTCGAGGTGCTCCCATTCCTCCCTCCCAGGATCCTTTCGAAAAGCACCAGCGACCCTGCGACATCCCTTCTCATGAAGTTCGACCCTTCCATGCCCTGGTTCCCATGCCCCTTACAGGCTGGGCCCAGGAAGGCCTGTGTCCGGCGGGCCGGTGACCCCGCGACCCTGCGCAGCACCCAACGGCGGGGTCTGAACAAGTGAGGTTTAAAACTGCGTCTCACCCAGGATCTTGGTCAAAACACACCGACCCCAGGAGGTGGGGTTCTTGTCCTCTTCCTGCAATGCAGAGGCTCGGAGCCGGCGCGGGTGGCCCTGGCCCCGTAGCGGGAAAGTGGCGGGACCGCACTCGCGCCCCGCCCCGCGCGGCCCCCGACCCCCGACAGCATCCCGCGCCCAGCAGGCCCCGCCGCTCTCGGGGACGCCCCCCAAGGGGCCTCACCTGGTCTTGGGGATGCGAGGGCTCGGCAGCTAGCGGCTGGTGCGGTTCGCCCGGCACAGTCCTCAGTCCCGCTCTCGCCTCAGCTCGCCCGCGGGTCCCTCTTCGCTCCACCGCCTTCCAAAGCCCGCGCTCCCGTCACGTGACCCGCGACGCACAGCCTCCTGGGAAGCGTGGTGCAAGCCCGACGGCTCGGCCTGCTTCTCTCGCCGCAAACAGTCCCGGCAAGGTGAACGGACTCCCTCCGTGACCTTTCCGCACCCTTCTTCACCTGTTTGCCCTCACTCCACTCAAGGTCCTCGCTGACCTCAGCCCCCGCGACACCCGAAACGGCGGGACTACACGTCCCACAATGCCGCGCGCGCGGGCGCCACTTCCGCTTCCGGCTGAGCGGCGCGCCGGCTGCTGCCGACGTGTTTTTCCGGTGGCGGAGTGGCTGACTACCCAGTGCCCGGCGAAATGGTGAGAGGGGCGAGGGGAGTTTGGCACAGGGCTGTGAGGAGCCCTCGGGGCCCGCCACACTCCCCTTTCTCTCGCAGAGGCCTCGGAGGCCCGGGATCCAGAGGGCGGGAGGCTCCCATATCCTCCCGCTTGGGCGGAGGGGCGGGGAGGGTAAGCCCCTGGCCGTGGACGCCTTCGGCCGAGGTTTTGATCTCGCAGTTTTAAGGGGGGACAGGTGTGGGGGAGACGCACAAGGTGCATTTAAGAAAAATCTCTATTGTTGAAAGTATTCCTATGTCCCCTCTGCCCCCATTGACACTCCCCCTCCCAGCTCACCCCCCGCCCCTGAGGTGCAATGTTATTATCCTGGAGCTTTTATCTCTTACTTGTGACCAAGCTGTTCTGTCTGTCTCGACATTCTTCCCCCTGCCGAGCTCGCACTCTTGGGCGAATGTCGCCTTGCCACCTCGGTGCAGGCCTCTTGCGCGCGTCCGCCTGGACCCCCCTGGGCCCTGCCACACCTCCCAGCGACCACCCTCTGACGTGCCTCCAGCCCTGAAACGATGTCTATTCATCTTTGTATCCCCAGTGCCAAACACAGGGCCTGCCAATGGAGGCTCCATAAAAGGCAGCGATTGTCTTGATCTGTGGTGGGGGGAAGGGGGACGTAAATGTTTACCGAATTGAATTCCAGTGTCTCTTGGAACAACGGGGCCAGTTTACTTCTCTGGAGTTGTTATGCTCAGGGTTTTGGAAGCCATGGCTGGCGGGGGACAATGGGAGGCAGCGTTGGCACAGAACTGGACGTTCACAGCCCTCTTGCTCAGGCATGACCTCACAATCGCCCCAAACTTTGGGGAGGAAACAAACACCTGTTGAGCCACTGTTCTATGCCAGGCAGATGGACATTTGTCATCTTTCTTGAATCATACGCACTGTGAGATGATAGAACGCCTTGACCGAGGCACGTGCTGTTCAGTGGAGACAGAATTTTAACTGGTGTCTTCTGCCTATAGATCCTGAGATTCCAGGATAACACAGAATAATACAGAATGAGAAGCTGAGATCATCCTGAGATTCCAGGATAATTCAGTGAGAAGAATACAGAATGAGCTGAGTCCAGTGTCCACAGATGTGGGTCTATAAAACTACAAAAATTATAGGCAGACTTTTTTTTTTTTTTTTTTTTTTTTTTGAGAGAGAGAAACATCAGTTTGTTGTTCCACTTATTTATACATTCATTGGTTGATTCTTCTTCCCTCCCCCGCCCCATTGGTTGGTTCTTATATGTGCCTTGACCAGAGATCGAACCCGCAACCTTGGCATATCGGGACAAGACTCTAAGCAACAGAGCAACCCGGCAAGGCCAGATTTTTTCATACATGTGGCTTATCTCAGGCGGGGAGCTCATACCTTTCATTACATTTTTGTCATTGAGGTCAGTAGTCTCAGAAAATATTAGGGGCCATTCGTTGACCCGCCGCCAGTTAGTCATCTGTGTCCTAGCCCCTGACTTTCATAGTGAAGTGACAATGTGCCACCGTAGTTTCAGAGGCAAGTGCTGTCACCCCCAAACGGCACCACTTGGTGTTGGTGAAGGACTGCCACATTCCCCAGGCTGAGACAGCCGGGAGCAGTCACAGCAGCATGAGGCTCCTTGACAGCCCCACGCAGCCCCAGGTTGAAGTCGTGGGGTTCTTTCCAGGCTCTGACCTCCTGTGTGCCCCTAGGAGCTCGAGGCCATGAGCAGGTACACCAGCCCCGTGAACCCAGCCGTCTTCCCACACCTGACCGTGGTGCTGCTGGCCATTGGCATGTTCTTCACCGCCTGGTTCTTCGTGTATCCTTTCCACTGGGCAGCGGGGGGAGAAGGGGACGCACCCTGCCAGTGCTTTCCTGGTGTGGGGACGGGAGGTGGAGGGAAGGCCGTTGACGTTCCAGGGTCAGGTTGTGGCCTTATATTTCAACTTCAGGTGAGCTCAGAACGTCTGGCAGGACTAGAGGGAATACGGGAGTAGATAACAGTGGTGTCAGG